ATATATATAAAAGCAGCTGACAGGTAATCAGTAATTACTGTCTTCACTCTTCAATATATAGCAACCACATATTGTGTCGCGCGTCGGAACAAGGACAAACGCCTTTATGGTGAATACAGAAGATACCAGCACTGTAAATACAAAGTAAACTGACAGGTACCCTAGGATCTTTACGTACCATAGCTTGTGCAGATCTTCAAAGCTCTTGATTCTCAATTCTGATGCTTCCCAAGCCCTTCCAGTGGGCTGTAATTTGTACACCTGTGTTGTGTCATAGAATTCTTCTATACCTCTCAAAGGGGTTGTGCTAGATAATGCCCGCATTGCGGCTACATTGTGTGTAAGATTGTTCCTGAGATTGTACGCAATGGTATTGCTTGCCGCTCTGCTTAGAGGGGTTCGTAGAGTGTGTTGGAGAACTGTTGAGGGCGACCGCAAAGCCACGCACTGGTACGCTGTTCTGCGTAGATTGAACATTATATGTATGTATATAGATATCAGCCGAATGTGTGCTTATTTACTTATGGGTGGAATATATTAAGAGTGCAAGGGCCGCTTCTATTCGGGTACGATACTGTTACGTAGGTACGCATTCACCCACAAATACACAACTATCCTTATAAAGCGAATCTGCGTAGATGCACTCTCTTAAATACACCTACATATAGTATTTTCATGACATACAAATACATCGACTCCACTACTATAATGATTTTTAGTCCATGTTCTCTATGACCGAGGAGGAATTGAGTCAGAGAGAGAGTCGAGAGAGAGAGTGGGGGGGAAGTCTCTCGTGGAATTCTAATTTTACGACATATTTCTTCGGTTCGGGTTGTTTCATATTCAGAATGATGTTCCAGGGCGTAGAATATACAAACAGCTGGTTTCCGACATTTAGTTTGTTGAAAATCGACGATTGTTGTTGTGAATATTAAAAGTTGACATTTGACACCATGTCATAGTTGCCACTTAGGTTCCAAACTATCCTCTCGGAGACTCGGGCTATGAAGAAGAAAGCAGTCAAGAAGGAGTCTATAAAGTCTATAAAGTGACTATAATAACTCGCTGTATTCTGTAATACATAAAATACAGGCGAAAATATATTTATCTCCATCTCTAGCGAGTAGTAGAGAGGGTCATGATATTAGCCGTTCATTCATGCATGTGAGACTGAGCCTAGTCTTCTACAGATTACCCCAAGACATTCACCGGATTTTACGTACACTGTATCTATAGCGAACTTATCATACTTATAACCACAACATGTTAGTCGTACCAAATACGCTTATAACCTCCCTACTGATAGCTCTGGGTACATTAACATGTATACCAGTGATCGCAGCACAAGATGACGCAGCACCCGCTGCCGTATCACCACCCCCTACTTTTCGACACGAGTATAAGTGGTCTTTTAAAGGCCCTTTGGACAGACCAGAAAATAATAAAGTGCCTTTCTGGGATGTAGTAGAGAGTGCAATGGTCTCCGAACGAGAAGTGCGACTGGTGCCGTCGGTTAATAATAGGAAAGGATCGGTGAGTTTCGACGACTCTCTCTGTTTGTAATTATTTTCACAATATCATAAGTGTGTTCTATACTAAAGCGAAAAGTGCTATGCGTATATGCATACGAAAGTATCTTGTTGAATTGACGTATGAGTATCAGGCGGGTCTTGACCTGCAAACATGAGGTCTGTACTCTGTTGGATAATACCTAAGACATTTATGGCAAAGTGAGAATCTTGTCCACACACATGCACGCGCTCGAATCACCGGAACACAAACGCCCACACATACTCAAATTTAGAACGTACTCGTATGAACGGTGTGTGAGATATATAAATTCAAGTAGCCTGTATTCTGACGTAGTT